GTGTGTGTGTGTGTGTGTGTGTGTGTGCGCGTGTAGGGCTCGGTTGGTCCACCTGGGTGTGATGCCCAACCACATGCAGGATGGGAGAGTTTAGCTGCCAAGAGAACCTTGTGCGTGGAAGGGTTGAGGAGGATTTCCCTAAAAGAAGGGAGTGATATCTGCAAAAGAAGAAAAGAAAGATGCAGGGCAATTTTTTTAAATGTTCCCCTGCATTGTACCATTCATAACTATTCTTAAGTATAAAACAAGTGGATGAAACTGCAGTGCAACAGGGAACTTATTCCTGATGCCGATAAGCTGACTTTGAGGAAGAATTCTGTCTGAATCTGTCACATAACCTCTGACAGATATCAGTAAATGCCAGATGTTTTTACTTTGGTTCAGGCTAGTCCTGAAAAAGATAGCTCCTCTGTGATGAGACCCAGTGTGCCTACCCCAACCAGCCCTCTATCTGCCTTATTAGCTTTTCTGTCTTCCCTGATGGACTTGGGGTTCCTTGGGGTAAGACCTATGTCTCATTGTTAGTTGTCTTCCAGAACATGGCATGGAACTTGGCACACAGCTGATGCTCAAGGAATGTTTATCAAAGAAACCAATGAATAATAATGACTAGGCCCAGCAGCAAAAAACCACAAATGTGCTGTCACCCTGTCTGGGGCCACACCTGAAAGCTGCCTGCATTGCCAACTAGTGTCATCAGCAGGAAAGTAATCGAGCGTTAGGAGTAGAAACTTGGCATCACGGTGTGTACCTCACACGTGAATCTAAATGCATATTCATATGAGCACACATGCATGATTAACTTGGGAAGCTAACAGGAAGCAGTCAATCTGTTGAGCAAGTTTGTGTTTTATAAACCAGGTGTTCGGTATTATTATTCATCATTTCCTTTGATACCAGAATGGTCCCCATTATGTAGCATAGGAAATGAAGGAAATGGCATAATATACAGGTATTATACAACAGAGCACCACAACCAAGCATTTTGGAGGCCTGTTCAAAGCCTGGACGAGTGTAATTGAATGGTAGTTCATTTTAGGATTCCTACTTGGACTTAAGTTAATGGGATTTTGCCCAGATGGACCATGGTGACCACCCCCCCTCACCTCCCATTCCTATCCTTTAGAAAATGAATGTTGACTCTACGTCTGCGTTTTTCTTGGAAGCAACATGTATGAATCATAAGCAGCTCTTGCCTCAGCAGCTGCTACAGGTTAAGGGGCCACAGAAAAGCAGGGACCCCCTAGCGTTTAGGGACAGAGTGTGTCTGGCTGTGGTTGGCTGCATAACTTCTGCTTGGTGGTCTGGAAAAAAACTTTTGCCATTGGCTGCTATTTCCTATGGCAGGAGTACAAAATGCCTTTCAATCATAAAGTACTTACAGTGCAAATTAACTTTCAAATTGATGTTCCTTCTCCATGAAGTGTTTAAGGTTCGCTTCAGACCTGTGGAAACTGGGAAAGATGGAGCTGGTGGGTGCAGAGGGCATCTTTATGTTGTGTAAGTGTGATTTCCAGGGTCCTGCCAGCCCTCGTGGCCACAGCGGCCACACTGATGAGCTTATACAGCAGGTTAGGGTTCTGGCCAAGCTGGTCCAAATCTGGCCCAGAGCTGCCCCTAGGAGAGCAGGTGAGCTCACAGCATAGTAGCTAGACTGAGCTCACTGCATTTCCTCTGTTTACCTGGGGCTTGTTACAAATGAATGGTTTCAGTACAAATGCAATATTAGGGGGATTTTTTTTTTTTTAGTTAATGATGCAGTAATTACATTTGGAATTAGCCCCTGAATGGAGTTGTCAGTATATTCCGGCTTAATATTTGGAAGTTAGTTTCTCATGAGCTTATGTTTGTGCCAGATTAATGACCAACGATTTATAGTTTATTTTCACTGGTTATGAGAAAAAAGCTACATTTCTTATTGTCAATCATATGTTTTGATTTCATTCTTGATACATGTTGGCATTACTTGGAATTTTGATTTGAGTTGTAAAGTGGCAGTTGCCCAGGGTTATGGATCAACTCAAATCCGTTTTCTTTATAGCATTAAAAATTACATAAGGAGTCAGAATATGGGAACACTTTTGATTCTGAGAGAGATGTTTACCGTGGATTTGTTCTGCCTTTGAAAATGGCCTTGCATGCCCTCAGTGGAAGCCATGTTTTAGGAAGATGTTGGAACCCTGTTTTCACACACTGGTTGGCCTGGTTCTGGGCAATAAAAACTATCAGCATCATCTCATAGTTAATTTTATTTAATTATTAATTTTATGATAAAGTATTTTTGTTGTTGTTGTTGTTTTTACTTATTCTAACATACAAATTAGGCTGTCCCAAATAATAGATTACATAATTGCCATGTGTTAGTGAGGGTTCTCCAGAGAAATAGAACCATAGGAGATACATATGTATATATTTTTTCTATATTGTTTTCTGTGCATATTTGTTGAGAGAGAGAGAGAGAGAGGGAGAGAGGAAGAGAGAGAAATTTTAAGGAATTACCACACAGAATCATGGGGGCTGACACGTCTGAAATCTGTAGGGCAGGCTGGAAATACAGGAAAAGTCGATGTTGCAGTGTTCAGCCTGAAGGCATTCTGGAAGCAGAATTCCTTCTTCCTTAGGACATCTGTGTTTTCTCTTAAGACCTTGAACTGACTGAATAAGACACCCACATTGTGGAAGGGACATGGAGGGTAATCCGCTTTATCAGAGTCTACAGATTGAAATGTTCATCACATCTAGAAAATTGTTAGAAAGTCTACATTAACATCCAGACTGGTGTTTGAGCAAACAGCTCAGTACCATGGCCAGGTCAAGTTGACACATGAAATTAACCATGGCACCATGAATCCTCAGTTCTTGAGGGACCATGAGACTTTTGCCTCATCTTGCATATTTATCAGGGGGCAATATAGGCCCATCTTGATGTGGATGTAAAACTAATAAAAACATGGCCCCTCTATTCCTGTTACACATTTTTCCCAACTACTACAAGCTTCTCTTTAGCTATCATAATGATTGATGGTGGAAAAGATTACTCTATAATGGTGCTTCTCAAGTTTTGATATGCATACTAATTATTAAAATAAAGATTTGATTCAGAGAGCCTGGAGTGGGGCTTGGGATTATGCATTTCTAATGCACTCAAGTGCTGCTATTCCATGTTCCACATTATGAGTAGTGAGGCCCAATAGCTCGAAGAATCTACTGGAAGAACAAGAATGATGGAAGATGGACTGAGTTTAATGACCTTTTCTCAAGAGGCCAGCCCATCCATGGGGACTTCAGTCCATGAGGCATCTAGATTTTAGGATCCTCTCTTTATAATGCCTCTGCCCAAGAAGATGGAGGGAGCAGCACCTGATTTTGCTGTGGAATTAAAGCAATGGAGAAGTGCCTAAACATCAGAAAACTCTCTAGACTGAAGGCAGTGGATTCCCCTTCACAGATTGCTTCCCATACATTTCAGTGGGCTGTGTAAACAGGAAGTATCCCTCTCCCACCAGACTTGCCATGCCAGTTTTGTTTCCTAACAGCAGTGCCACATGCCTTGATTTTACTTTGGACTCTGCTACTTACTAGCCATGTGACCTTGAAGTCAGGGAAAGGAAACTAGCATCCTTTGAGCACCTTCTTCTGCCAGGTACCATGCTGGGCAGTTTCACATTTTATCATCACGGCAACAATGCTGGGGAATTACTGGGATTATTTTATCTGAGGACATGGAGGCTTAGCTCACGCAGGTAATAAAGATTCAAAGCTGAGAATTAGGACCAGGTTTGTCTTGGACCAAAGCCTACTGTGGTCTAGAAGCCTGTTTCCCCATTTGTTATTGAGGTTGAGTAGGGGTTCCTGCCCATCTCCCAACACTGTGTGAAAAGCAGACATGATGGTGGGTCTCAATTCATTTGTATGCAACTCAAATGGTTACAGCAATGTATTGTATGCTATATTTCAAGGGTTGTTCTTCCATGAGAAATATTTAGCTTCTTTGCAGTGATTTTAGGGATTGGATGATCAAGTTATTTTTGTATTTTTGTGTTGTTTGTTTTTCATCTGGGACTGGCATGAAAACATCTGTAGAGGTCCAAAAAAGCCTTGACTCAACTCTATTGAGGAGAATAAATGTTTCCAGACTCCACTGTTTTCAGCAGGGCAACTCAGAAGACCACTTACACTCGTGCTTTCTGATCCTTGATTTTCAGATTAAGGAGAAGCATTAACAGTGCACATATTGAACATAAATGTCTGCAGAGTAAAATTATAAAATTAATCTGTGTTAATAAAATAAAATGAATTCACTAAGATCCAACAAGGCTTTATTTGAAGCTACATGGCTGAATGTAGTGACCGTATTAGCTGGAGTGACTGATGACGACTGACTTTGTTTCCCCAGCCAGGGGCTGGGATCCTCATCTGCAAATCAGGGTGAAGGGACATTGCAATTTCTCCTAGGCTAAAGTCTCGAGTGGGCACTGGTCCATCCCCAGCAACCCCTGGTGAGGAAAGGATAAGACTGTCGGGGGCACGGCCTCCCACCCTATGGTTTCTAGATCGTTCTCAGGTAACTGGCTTTTCTCTCTCCATCCAGCTTGCCGATGATCAGGGCCTTGTCCTGATGACCACTGTCGCCATGCCTGTGTTTAGTAAGCAGAACGAAACCGTGAGTACAGTGGCTGTGCTTCTTGCTTGATGCTTAGGAGGGCAGTTTTCTGAGACCCCCTTCTGACTCAAGCCCTGGTGACCTTTATTTATTTATTTTAAGGATAGAAGGTATATACTTTTTCCCCATGTTTAATCCTTCTGTTAGAATCATGAAATCAAGCGCAGATGAGAGGAATTCAAGCAGGCATCGTTTTACAATGTGCATCACTTTTCCAGAATTTGTGTGTTCAATGACCAGAGGAAGGAAAACCACAAAGAGAATCCTTGATTATGGTGGACAGCTGTTCTGTGATTTATAGTTAACAGCTTTGTGTTAGCTTCCTAAGGCTGTGGGAACAAAGTGCCACAGACAAGGTGGCTTAAAACAATAGAAGTGTGTTCTTACAATTCTGGTGGCTAGAAGTCCAAGATCAAGGGGTCGGCAGGGCCGTGCCTCCTCTGAAGGTTCTAGGGAAGAGTCCTTCCCTGCTTCTCCATGGCCTCAGACTTCCCTTGGCTCCTGGCAGCCCAACTCCCATCTTTGCCTCAGTCTTCACATGGCCTTCTTCTCTCATGTGTTTCTATCCTCTCCTCTTCTTAGAAGGATATCCGTCATTGGATATAGGGCCCATCCTAAATCCAGGATGATTTCACCTCGAGATCCTTAACTCATTACACCCGCAAAGGCCCTGTTTCCAGACACGGTCACATTCAGAGAGGTTCTGGGTGGACTTGATGTAGGGAAAACAATGGACAGTAGCAATTTGTGTCTTCTTCTGGAAGGCGTTTCTGATATCGGAAAATTTCAGCACATCACGTTGACCTTGGAATCTGGGACCCTAGAGGCCTATTTCTTCCCCTTAGTTCTTGGTTTCAACTGGCTGCTAAAAATGTTAGGATTATTTTCTTCTTTCTCTGGCTATTTAGTCTCTCTCTCCTGGGCACCAGATGGCAGTGTAAATTGAGAAAGCAGTTAACACACTATAAGTCTTTCCTGTAGAAAGCTTCCATAAGAGAAACTGATTAATGATCGCAGTCCTCAGCTGCTGAAACTTTAGTGCTTCTGCACATCAATTCTTTATTTTCAGCAGACAGAAGAGAACGAGTGTGTCTTGGTATGGGTGTGTTTAGATTGTAGTTGTTAATGTTTGGCCTGAGAAGCTACCATTATTCTCTAGTAATATTTTTTGGGGGGGTGGGGAGCGTGAGGGGGGAATAGAAGAGGGCTTCTCTAGGAGATCTGGGTTAATCCTCAGCCTGTGTTCATTTGGAGAAGGCATCAGACAGTGATCTGTGGTATGTGGCTTCTCACAAGGTTCTATTTTTTTTTCTACCAAATTAGCTTACTATTGTTTTGTTCAATATTTGTTGTCAACAGAGATCGAAGGGCATTCTTCTGGGCGTGGTTGGCACAGATGTCCCAGTGAAAGAGCTTCTGAAGACCATCCCCAAATACAAGGTACTACATCACTTATTTAATAGTCAAGGGCCAAATTTCACAACCTGCCACACACAACCTGCCATAGTGATGATAAAAATACAAAGTAAGGGGCGCTTCTGTCCTTTTACTCTCTTTCTGGCAGGCTTTTTTTTTTTTTTTTAGAACAGTAACAGTCTGTGAAGATCTGAGTAGCTCTGTGCAGGTCTACACAGGTCTAAGCTCTCTGATGGTCTTCTAAGCCAGTCCTGACTCACCCCCGTCTGAGGACCTTCTAAAATCTCTTACCTCTTAGCAGAAACCCAATGAGGCACAAAGAAAAATGGTTTCTGACTCCATTGAATAAGTACTCCCTCTATCTTGAAAGGTGATGAGGTATAAATTAATGTTTCTTTCTTAATGCTAAATTAAAATCCATGTAACTAAGAGAATTATAAGTTTGTGTTTTTGTTAGGTTTTGTTGTTTTTTGTTTATTGTTTTTCATTTTTTTTTAATTCTGAACCTAATTGAAGGGGTGAAGTAGGCAATTTTGTAACAAAGAAGATAGAGCAACTATCTATCTTCAAAGATCTACAAAGCAGTGCTAGGCAACTGCTTTGTGGGTTTAGAACAACATACGGGGCCTTGAATGTGACCTGCAGCCTCCAGATACCCACACGGAATGCTGGACCTTTCTCATCCCAGGTTCAGGCACCTGTGGGCTTCATCTCCACTGGACCTTTGCTAACCTAGAATGCCCAAAAAAATGATGGGTGAACAGAATGACTAGGCAACCGCATGCTGGGATCCTCTGCCATCTTTAAAAATGTTTTTTTTTTCAGATTGGGGGGTATCACTCTGTGAGGAGTGTAAATGTCTAACTATTACATTGCTTTGTACACCTGAAAATAACAAAAATAAAATAAAAATGGGGTTTTCTAAGAATTTTGAAATGCATAGAGAAAGGCTTATGCTACAAGGTCATGTACATTAGGCAGGGTTCTTAAGTTTGATGACAAGGATAGGCCTACCTTTTGACAGAGGGTTGGAATAAGAACAAGGGAGTGGATTAGCCCGTCACCAGGCATCACAGCAAAGTCTTGTCCAAGCAAGTCAGCAGAATGGATGGCTGCAGCCAAAGTAAGCAGGTCACCCTCAGGGGTTGGATGCAAAATGAGAGGTGCAGAAAATGGCTGTTTCTAAAATCACCATTTTGCAGTACGAGACAGGGTGCCTCATGGTACACAATTAGCAGATAGCATTTGCTAGTACCTGACGCCGTGCAGAGTGCATTACCCACATCACATTAGCAAAGCTTCCTCAGATGAGTGCAGTGCTGTTGTATTCATTCTACTCCTCAAGAAACTCACGTTCATAGGGAGTGTGCTCACAGAGCTCAGGGCCACATGAGTAGGAAGTGGTGAGTGTGCTTTGAGCTAGGTCCATGTAAGTCCTAGACCGATGTGCTTAGAACAGACATAAGCCATTCACACACCACTCCGTAATTTGTTGCCATATTCATATACCATCTGTACCATTATTTACTTAATACTTCATTTGTAAATCAGCTCAAAACTTTCTTCACTTCAGTAGATTTTAATAGGAAACATCACAGCACCATTGAAAAAGAAAAACCAATGTGATTTGCCATTATAAAGGATAATTGTAAAAAAAAATCATAAAACTAACAACATTAAATGATTGCTTGATAATCTGAGGGTCTGAATTTGAAGTCTGTTCTCTTTTTTTAAGGTAGTATTAAAGGCAAGTGTAAAAGGTATATTAAATGGAAACTTTCTTTTTGATAGAATTGGAAGGGTAGAAGACATTTTAAAAGGGCTGACTCTCACTAAGTGAGAGTAAGTTTAATACCAGGCCCATATGCCACCTAAAGTTATCTTGCTCTACACTCTGTTTTTCCTAAGAAATCAAAACAGTCCTGGAGAAGATGATGCAGGGCTGAGGAGTGAGGACCATGGGGGGTTGTTCATCCTGAGGCAGTGGGTACCCATGCCTTCTGGGGCTCCCCTGAGCTTTGGGCATCAGTGCCATCACCAGCATCCATAAGCCCATGCTGCACCCCCACCTGGCAGCCCAGGCATCTCAGAGTCCCCAGAGGGTTTGACTTTACCCAGTGCTTCCTGTCTGGTCCAAAAGTCACCTTCATAACAAAGAAAAAAAAATGAACTCTAAGCTAAAATCAGGTGTCTAGGCTCATAAAAGGTGGCCTCCTTAGCAAAAAAAAAAACCTCTCCTGCTTGGGTTTACTGAGGTGACAAAGACCTTCTTTCTATTGCCACCCGGGGCCCTGCCATCCAATCTTGTCCACCTCCAAGGATTTCACAGTTGGGGATACGTTTCCAGAGGCCCAATAGAACATATGGTTGATCCAAACCCACATCATCAAGTGCTGGGAACTGTGTAGCTGCCCAGAGACTGAAAGCGTAAGGGAAGATGGAGGGATGTGAGTTCCCTAAAAAAAGTGGACTTCATTTCATTCAAACTCCCAGACCTACATGCCCAGAATTGCTGGCTTACTGTTTAAGGAAGGGTATCCCACCTTTACAGAATGATTCCAAACAATTCTTAAGCCTCTTATTTCATATGAGAAGATGTAGAAACCTAAGTACAGGGTCTCCACTTAATATATGCCCAATAATTCAAGAAAGTATGAACATAATACGAAACTGATAACTAATTACCCTGTGGGTCTATTTCTCAAGGTTTCCTCTACCTGACAAGGTGCTAAAATCTCCATCGCATTATTGTATTTAATAATAGGTAGATGCTGCCATTACACCCATTTTACAGCTAAAGAAACTGAGGCTCAGAAAGTTTAACTATCTCCCCAAGTCTCACAGCAGGCAAGCCATGATTTTAGCTGCTATTTATTACTCTAAAACCATTATGAACAATAAATGACAGTCATAATCATAATCATAGTTGAAATGATAGTTAAAATATTAACAATAACACTAATAGTTAAAACAAAATAAAACAATAAAACATTTATTGAACTTTTTACTGTGTGTTTGGTATGGTAAAAGTGCTTTACATGCACTATTCCCTTTGAATCCTTATTATACTCCCACGAAGTAGGTATAACTTGGCCCCATTTTTAGTTGAGGAAACTTGAAATAACTTTCTCAATGTAACTCATGTAGTAAAAGATGAATGAAACACAGTGTAACAAGAGACTAGAGGAAGATCGGCTACAGAAATTTAACCAGCCATGCCTGAAATGCAGGCATTTCTGTTGTATGCTTTCCCGAGGGTCAGGCTGGGAAGAAGAGACACAGGTACAACACATGTAAACCCCAGTCATTCTTTCTCTGGTTCCCACAGCACGCCTTGGGAAAAGGTGTGCCTGTCAGCCAGGGTCAGCCATGGCGGAACAGGTCTCCCTCCTCCAGGAGACAAGAGCTCCCGGGAGGAGAGTGGGGATCACACCTTTCCCTCCTGATTAACACCTTGTAAAGATGAGTCAGCTCTTGGCTCTTGGGGTTTTCCCAGAAGATAGAATTCTTTCTTTTCCCTTAGCTTCATAGATTTTCCCACAAGCAATCAGACTTCCTGTAATTTTTATTAAGAATTCCAGACACCCAAGCAATAATTTCCAGACACCACAGCCTCTGTTAAGGTAACAAACCATTTTATAATTGGGTTCACTTCATTAGCCCAAAGCCCCTGCAGTTGGAAGGGAAGCACCCTCCTTCCCGGCTGTTGGACCATGAGACTCCTGGTCTCTGAGAGACCGTGCTCCAGGATAGAGGCCCCTCTGGCAGCCCTGAGTGCTGGAACGCCCCGTGTCCGATCTGTTCTCCATTACTCCATGGGACGGCACATTAGAATGGACAGGAAGACTGGCTCTATTGCAGATGAAATAAAAATTAGAGATTTCATCAGGATATTGATTTGTGGCCAAAAGCAAATGTTGGACATTGTCATGTTAGAAGCTTTTGGTTTTCTGAGAGATTCATCCGCAGAGTGTGTTTTCAGATTTGCTCAGAGTTTCTTTTCTTCCATCTATATTAAGTTATATCCATATGTCACCAACCAAACAACAAAAAATTCTGATGTCATTTTCTCAGATTGTTCTCTCAGGAAGGATTTTAACCAGATAGTTTCTGAACATCGGGAAGACTTTCTCGGGTACAGCTTGAGAAGGACTGGCTATGCACCTGCCATAGTAAATCAGCTGCTCCTTTTCGGCTCCTTTTTGATACTTACTATAGTTCAGACTTTAAAGATGAATTAGATAATATTTGGGTAAAGTGAAGAATGTCTTAAATAAACACAGACCTTATCCGGAGCACCTGTCATTTGCTAGACATGACACTAGGGACGATAGAAGTCAAAGATCAGTAAAATGGTCCCTTCCCCACAAAGCCCGTTCTCATGGGGGGAGGCACTGCCTTATCTAGAACAAGGCAGGCGAAGGAAAGGCAGCCAACTGGGCTGAGAGGTAGGAAAGGTAGGTGAGGCATTTTCATGCATAGCAGTGAAGGTAGTCATGGGAGAATACTCAGGGTTTTAGGAAACATGGAATGGAAAGGAGGAAGCAAGGGAAGGGTCAGTAGAGCCTTTTTGTAGGCGATGGACCTGAGGCTGTGCTTACAGCATGGGCGAGGATTACCTAGGGGGAGATGGGAAGGAGTGGTGCTCTAGGCAGCGAGTGCTGTGTGAGTGAAGGTCTTAGTGGGAGAGAAAACTGTAGGGGGTTGTTGCTGCCATGTTCCCTGAGAGGTAATGAGTGGAAGGAGGTGGGGCTGGGTACCCAGGTAGGGGCCAAGCCCCAGGAACACGTGATGAACAGGCCCATGGATTTTATCTTACACATGAAAGAAATCTTTAGTGGATTTTACACAGGGGAGCTATAGAGCCAGTGTTATCTTTGACTTTGATCAGTCTGGAGGATGACTTTGATGGGGCCAAGCTTTGAGGTAGGAAGAGCAGTTAGGACCATTGTGGAAATCTATTACATTAAACCTACATGGATGGTAGGGTGGGAAGCAGCGTTGAATCTGAGTAATTTCTGGAAGAAAAGTTAGTGATTACTTGGATCAAGAAGTTGGGGATGAAAGAAAGAAACAAGTCTAAGGATGCTGCTGCTATGTCTAACTTGGGAGCGTGGGCAGGTGGTGGTGCCACCAACAAAGGAGAAGAGCAGGAAGATCAGTGCTGAGGCGAGGAGCCGCCATGATGGACCGGGTGAGTCTGAGAGCCTGAGGGATGCCCAGGTGGAGATGACTGACATAGTTGGGTACTTGGATCTGCCACTGAGGGTTCAGGCCAAGGCTGGAACACAGACCTGGAGATTGGCAGCATCCAGGTACTTGCTAAAGTTTACTGGGGGAGACAAAGCTCCTATGAGAATCCTATGAAAAGGAGCAAACCCAGGCATATGGGGTCTGGAAGCTGAAGGAATAAAGAGTGTAAAGGAAGAGGCGGCAGTTGGTAATACAACTGGGAGGGTGCAAGAGAGAGCTTTCTGTAGGGTTTGGTAATTAGGAGGCCATTGGCAACTGTAGAGAAAGGTGTTCTGCTGGCATCTTGGCAGGTGGAGAGCAAGGGCAGACTCTAGTAGGCTGAGGCATAACTGGGCAACAAGGAAGCAGAAATGGCATTTAAACAATGAGCACAGGACATTGGGTGGGAAGGTCAGCTTAGCCTCTGCGTTTCCAGGGGAGGAAGCAGAGAGTTTAGGTTAGCCTTAAAGGATCTGCATTCGGTTCAATTTTTTTTATTGTTTCCCTGCTTCCTCCTGTTCCTCTTTCTCATCCCGCCCCCCCCCCCGCTTTCCTCCATCCCAACCACCTCTCCACATATTTTTAACCACATGGCATGACCTTGGCTATCAGGGAACTTATGATGGGGAGACAGGCATTAAATAATCAAAGGCATTGACTGATTCCTTAATTACTTATAATCTAACTCAGAAATAATTGATTATTATCATTTTGATAAATGCTATTCAGGAAAAGTAAAGGGCCTTAAGGGAGCGTATACGAGGAACCCTACCTTCTTTTCAGCATTGATTCCCATAAGCAAACCAAGAACTGAAGGAATGTACATTAAAAGGCACTGACTATATTAACTGACTGCAAAATATCAATTGGTCTAATTTGCAGTTCAAATTTCCAATCAAATACCACTTTTTGCCTTGAATGGAGAAAGTCACACTCTCCAAGTCCTTTTTGACCCCTCCAGTTTATATTAGACTGGGACACAGTAATGGTAATTAATGCAGTGTTGACTGTGTCTGACATTTTTCCAAGAGACAAGATGAAAGAGACGATATACATCTCAAAGGAGAGGAAATCTCTGGTTTATCTTTCACAGCATAATGAAATATACTTTTATCATTAGAGTCAAGTAGAATCTTATTAAAACTTGCCGTGCAAGGTAACTCTGGGAGAAAATGTCGGGTTGCCCTTGACTACCACCTGCATATTTGCTTTGTGTAATGCAAGGGAAACTTTTAATTGTCGGTGTTCAATTCTCTGAAGTTAATTTCACATCACCCTGAAGTTAAGCTAAGAAGCAGACAGGGTCATTCTTGGTTTGTAAACTCTGTTATCTGGATCATATAATAGTATCATATTCAAGAATGTGAATTTTAAAGAAATGTAACAGTGAGGGCTCAGAACTATGAAATAACTTGTCAGAAAAAAAATAGAGGAATTTTTTTTCTTCTCCCCTTTCACTGCTCTGGCAAAAGTGGGTTACATTTTCTTTCTTCAGAGAGAGAGAAAGAGAGAGAGAGAGAGAGAGAGAGAGAGAGAGAGAGAGAGAGAGAGAGATCAGTATGAGTTTTATGCCAGAGGCCATTTTAATACATGAATGATTTGTAGGTAAATTTATTGTAGCCAATGGGTGCAGTCAACTGTGTAATAGAAATATTGTCAAAAAGCCGGGATTATTATTTAAATAAGTGCAGTGTTAAATTTGATTACATACTTTTTAAAGCTAATAAAACATTTCATTGCTCTCAAAGTATTTCCCATAGTCCCATTTAGTCAGAAAACATAAATTAAGTGAGGTTCTGCATAGAAAATTACCCAGGCTTTGTGTCGATGGAAGTATGCATGGAAAAGCTTGGCAGCCTCACAATTTAAAGAGGAAAGGATATAAAAGGGGTTGGCAGGCTCCTATATAGGCTGGGGGGAGGGACACTCTTATCCTTGAAGAATTATAAAAAATGACTGCCTAGGAGAGTGCAGGCTTGACATGGCTCCTATGGGTGTGGAATTGTAGGGAGTCTGGGTGTGAAGCAAAGTGAGGCCCCGCAGCAAAGTGAGGCCCCCCTCTCCTCATGACAGGTAGAGAGAAGACACTGAGGTTGATAAAACTCTGTTCACTTGGACACAGCATCTTTCCAGAAACATTAGCTGCTTTTTTTTACTATTATTAATGTAATTGTTTTTGTTTTAAATAAATCACAGTAAGGCCTTTGGGTGCCAACATGGGGATGTGACATTTTAAATTGTGCTATTTGCTGAGCTTAGACTGTGACAGGTCTTCATTTCCACCAAATGTCAAGGATCAGCGCCTTGCATTCATTTTAATGAAATATTGTGCTGATAAGGGTTATGAATGCCAAGTTTAAGCTGTAAATTACTAAATGTCGGGCTGCTTTATGCTTTGTGAATTCACCAGGGAGCAAGCTAATGAAGGTTTCTTTCTCACTTCCTCTTACAGTTAGGGATTCACGGTTATGCCTTTGCGATCACAAATAATGGATATATCCTGACGCACCCAGAGCTCAGGCCACTGGTAAGAGGAATACTTATTTCTGTGTTTTTCCTTTTATGGCTTTGAAAAATTTTCTTCAGTTCTACAGTGGTGACACTTTGTAGCATTTTTCGCCTTAAATATTCAATTCATAATATTGTGTCTTAAAGGTTGTTTTAATAGTTTATAACTAGAATTTTGACACATCATGCATAAATAGTGTTGGATAAATATATTTAATGTCATGATTTTGTATATAAATTCATATATAGCTATAGGCATGTATTTATTTATTTCACATCTGCCAGTAGATGGAATTTTTTTTTTAACTCTAGACAGCTTGAAGCATATAATAATGGGTACCTTTGTATAACAAACGGTCTCTCACACCCCAGCCCAAGACCGAGTTATTGCAAGTCACATTTGATACGACAAATTAGACCCAGGATCCCTGGAAATTCATTACAATGGGATTTGCCCCCAAAGTACATTGCCTAAGCCCAGTGCCTCCCGTGTTGAAGGGCTTCAACAGTAGCTTTTTGGTTTCATTGAAACAGTTGAGAGTGTCTCCTTTTCCTGCCTGAACCATAGCCAGTAGCACTGTTTGGTGACCTGATGTGTCAAGCACGTTCTTTCAGCATCATTTGCACTTTCTCTGAAATGCGTGGGATCCGGCCACATCTAGAACAGCCCGTGGTATCATTGTCCAGCCTGGTCCTTGGGGAGAGGCTGAGCTCCATGTTGAGGAGAATACCAGAGGCAGCCGCGCTCATTGGGTAGGAGGCCCTGGTCCACTCACAGCGTCTCCTGTGGATGCTGGAAGGGCATTGGAGTGACTGCCATGGGTTTGGATTACTTTCAGTTTGTGTGTGTTTAGATAATTTGAAAGAAGATATAAAGGTATAAAAAATAATACAGTAAATTCTGCTTTGGAGAGTGAAGAAAGTGTAGGTTGTTTCCTGTAGCAATCCACACACACAGAGACATATTCACACATACCCATCCACCCATAAGCTTTTTTCTCTTTCATCAAGATTGCGAAATCTTGGGCCTGCTATGCAAATGTTTATTGGCGAAGCATTGTGGGAACCAGTTTGCGTCTCGCTTGAATCATTGTTTAGAAAAAGTTCATGTTTGAGCTCCATCATCATCCAACTTTGCTCTAATCGCCCTGGTATTACTGGAGTCATGGCCACATCTCATGTGGGTCCCATATGCACACTTTAAGATGGGAATTATGGTAATATTTGATTTCAACAATCCTTTTTTTTATCAGAAAAGGATTGGGCTAACTAGTTAGCTAATTCCAAATGTAACTCAGAATTATTGAAAAGTCTGATAGAAAAAAGCTACTGACTTTTTAAAGATATTTGAGTCTAAAAACATATATAAGTCTAAAAGCTTGGCACTTGACCCATTTCCAAGCCACTCCTTTGGGGTTGTCTGTTGGGAGTGGTGGGAGTTACATGTTTGGTGTGGCTGAATCAGGGCTCCTAGTGCTTATTTATTCCAAGTTGGAGTGGAACAGAGTAAATGAAACAATCAAACCTGGATCTTCTGCCAGTGAGTGAATTAGCTTCCTATTTATCAGCTTTTAAAGAAGGAATGAAATGGAACCAGATGTCAGAAGTCACCAAGGTACTTTCCCTCTCTGTGCTGCGGTGGAAATGAGCTGCTCCCAACTCCCAACGTCTTTCTCCTTTTTCTATATCTTCTGGTCGTGCAGCAAATGGTCTGTGTGCACACAGTCCATCGGATGCACTTTCCAGAGCTATAGCCACTGAGAGGGTAGCTGAAAGCCTCTTAGAAAAGCAGCCCAACTGGTCCACACCGATCGTCTCCTACCAGTGCAAATACTCACAGACATGTCATTTCTGTGCTTCTCACTGTTGAATCATTGTACTGAATGATTTCACCAAAAGTGGTAGCCAAGGTCAAGTTCCCATAAATGAAATGGCAAATGCTCCATATCTCACCTGTGAGAACCCAAACCAAATGAACCATTTTGCAGTTGATCTGTGATAAGAACATAAGGAATGGCCAGGCCATTTATCTGTCTCTGACCTTAAGGCCATAGGTCTTTAGAAGAGGCTTGTGGTGATGCCCACCATGGAGGATTTCATGAACTAACCCATCTGAATGTGATCAGTAAGTGGATGTTGACTCTGCCTTGAGTTTTATATTTTCCTCCTGGGAAAAAGGCAGCAGTGACATAGAAGGAACTCAACTTCAGAACACACGGTTGCCCTTGACTCCTAGTTCTGCCACATCCCAGCTGTGTGACTTTGGGCAAGTCACACAGCCTCTCTAAGCATCATATTCGCTTGTAATCCTGCCTTAACTATAAATCACAGCTTGGTTGTCAGAGTAAATGAGATAATGCCAACAAAGAGCCTTGTGTGACAAAGCAGTCCCCAGGACATGGTGCAGACAGTGGTGGTTAACCCAGCACCCTGGTTGTGTTGTATTAGCTCTATTGATCTGAGCTCAGCCGCTCTAAAGGTTCGGAGGACATGGTAGAGGATGCTTAGGGAGGAGCTAAATAACACTATTTGATTATTCACTTGGTTTAGATTATTATAATAAATATTGTTGAGGGATTGTACATACACACACACACACACACACACACACACGAATGAACAGACACAGAGTCCTTGGACTCATGCAATCCTAATTTCATTCAGTCTTCCATCAACTTAGTCTGTGAAATCTTGGCTCAATCTCTCTCTCTCTCTCTCTGTCTCTCTCTCTCTCTGTCTCTCTCTCTCT